GAAGTAATATATGTAAAGGTGCTGACTACAGTGTCTGGCATGTAATGAGTGCTCAACTATTATTATTAAACTTCAGAAACATATTACTGTTAGAAACAGTATTTTAATCTAAAGTATGAGACTTTATTTGAATCATTACGGGTATTTGGTGCTTTTTAAAACTACTAGTCATGATTCATTTGGATCACAAAATCAATTCAGTGAGTCGTTATCAAGAATTTAAAAAACTAAAACAAAGTAGTAATGTATAGACTAGAGTACTTTGCACTAATAGGGTTTATTTAAGTGTTGATGGGAGGAAAGCATGCTATTTGAAGGTGGTCATGGTTCTCTCTTTTTAAATAAAACCACAACTACAGTTATTTTTTTTTTAAATGTCCATTTTTACAATAAGATAACTCCTAGTTTTCAGGACAACCACAAGCCAAAGAGGTTCTTTTGTGAGCCCATTGCATCCTAGTTCATCTTTTATGCTTAATAATAAAATTGTGAAGTCTTATAAGTTTAGTTTATAAAATGTCTTTAATAAACTTTCATATTTTAAAAGAGGCAGATATACATTTATCACCCAGGACTTGGTTTTTAAATATAATTCCTCAATAAAAGATACCAGGTCTCCTTGGAGAAATGGATGAGTCCACAACAGGGGATGGAAAGTATAAGATGAATCTGGAACCTCTTGCTGTGCACGGAAGTTCATATTGTTCAAATATTGATGAGCCATGTTAAAATAACTTGCAACCCAGTTTGAAGTGGCTCCCACTGGCCAATTCTGGAACAAATTGCAAATCTTAAGGAATAGTTGGGAAAATAAGTTATTTTTGGGCTGGGTTAGTGAAAATACAAACTGAGCCCTGAGCATCTTATAGTAATAAAAAGCGAATAAGTACTCCAAAAATAAAAGATTTATTAAAGGAGCCAGCCTGAAAGAGCGTCTAATGGCCAGAGCTGGAACAATTTGAACAATATAAAGTAGTATAAAATTAGACCCAAAGTATAAACTAAATAACCACGAGTTCATGCTTATATAAATAACTAATAATGAAGGAACAAATTTTCATTACTGAAGAATTCCAAATACTACATGTAGCTTACTCTTCCCTCCTGTAAGTGGAGTTTAGTCCTGCTTCCCCCTCTCCACTACCACTCCACCCTGCCCTTGAATGTCGATAGCGGTCATTACTTTCCAAAGCACACAGTATGAATAAGAAACAAGTGCAGTGGAGAATTCTAAAAAACACTACCTTAACCAAGTGATCAGGCTAATATTACCACTGATAAGTCATGCTGATGGCATTTTACCTCTGTGATATGATGTGATGAGGACACCACCTCTGTGGTATTCTTTCCCTAAATCCATAACTCCAGTCTCATCATGATAAAACCATTACATTGAGGGACATTCTAAAAAATATCTGACAAGTACCTGTCAACTGTCAAAGTCTTGAAAAACAAAGAGACTGAGAAACTGTCACAGAGGAGACAATGGAGACATGACAACTGTAGGCAATTTGGTACCCTTGAGTGGGTCCTGGAATAATAAACGAATATTAGTGGGAAAACAGTGAAATTTAAGTAAAGTCTGGAGTTACTTGAAAGCAATATAACTTGGTTTTGATAAATGTGCAATAGTAATGTAAGATGTTAACTTTAGGGAAAACCAGGTGAAGGATATATGGGAACATTCTGTACTAACCTTGTAACTTTTCTGTAAATTTAAAATTATTCCAAAATAAAAAGTTTATTTAAAAAGAGCAAATATAATTTAATAACAAAACATTAATAAAGAACTGGAAGTAAAGAGATCTTGGCCAGGTGGTAAGTTGGTTAGAGCGTCATCCTGATACACCAAGGTTGCAGGTTCAATTCCTGATCAAGGGCACATACAAGAATTAACTAATACATGCATAAATAAGTGGAACAACAAATACATGTCTCTCTCCCCCCCCTTCCTCTCTCTCTAAAATCAATAAATTTTAAAAAATGATGATAACATATTTTCGTATCACATTAAAATAACTCAAACTAAATACGTACAGTGCCACAGAACTGATCAAATCTTAAGTTCTTACTGTTCCGGTACCTGTGTATACAAGGCTTCATTATGTGTGTTTAGTTCTATTTTAAAGAACATTTTCCTATTTAATTTATAGTTTTCTAAATTAGAAATAGTTCTATGCAGAAAACTTGGAAAGCATAGAAAATAAAGCCACTGCTTTAAGATAACTATTGTTAACATTTTGGTAAAAAGCTTTACAATATATTTTCATGCAATATATGTATTTTTTTGTACAAAACTGATCCCACATACAGTATTTGATCATCTTCTTTTCATAGTTAACATGAGCACTTTCTCATATCAATATATATTCTTCCAAAACTTTATCTCTAATGGCTGCAGAATATTCCATGGTAGAGTGTTTAAAAAAAATGAAAACACTTTTATTTCTGTGAATCAAGTGATATATTCATTCCAAAAATTCAGACAGTGTAAAAAATATAGAAATTATAAACTTTTTATTGATGTTATGTACCCTTTCTGGCAATATACACTATTAATATTAACTTCCAGACTATTGATCTATCTAAACACACACACACACACACACACACACACACACGCACACACATGCACATACACACACTTACAATGTGATTTGCATGTTTTGTAACTTTTCCTTTAAAAGTTCATAATTTTTTGTTTTATTGAAATATAATGGACATTCTTTTCTTTTAAATAATGAACATCTGTTCAAAATGATGTAGATAAAAATAGATCTATATCAAAATTCTGAAGTTTGAGTAATATTCCATTATGAATATAACATGGTAGCAGCAAACAAGGTCACTGATGTGGGCCATGGAAATGGAAAAGAGAGGACTTAAATCCCAGTTCTGTAATTAGAACTTGTGTGACTTTAGATAAATGTTTGCTATAAATCTCAACTGCTTAATCAAAATCATGAGGTCTACTAGCAGGAGTGGTCAAGTGTTAATGGGAATCACGGAAGGATCTAAACTAAAATGTTTTTAGCATGCAAGGCCTGAAGAGGACCAATATTCTTCAAAGTTCAGATAATATGGAATACTTTGGCCTGTGTCCAAATGTAACTTTAGCAGCCCTCACATTGAGTCACTCACATTGAGATACAAAATAATACACTGAAGGCCAGAGAGAGAGAGAGAGAGAAGGAAAAAACCCATGAAGCAAAACTAGGACTCTCATACATGGCTGGTGGGAACGCAAATGGGGGCAGCCACTTTGGAGGAGTCTGGCAATTCCTAAAGCTTAAACATGACGTTATTACATAAGCCAACTATTCCAATTCTAGGTATATACCCAAGAGAAATAAAAACATACATTTGTCTATACAATAACTTGTACAGGATTCTTCATAGCAGATTATTACTAATAGCCCAAAAAGTGGAAATGATCCAAATGGCTATGAAAGGATGACTAAATAAAATGATGTGACATGTTCATTTGATGGTATATTTGACAATCGAAAAGGAATGAGTAGTGATACATGATACAAACGTTGGACACATTATGCTGATGGAAAGAAGTCAGTCATGAAAGACCACATATTGTATGATTCCATTTGTATGAAAGGTCTAGATAGACTAGGCAGATCTAGAGTTAGAGTAGATTAGTGGTTGTCTAGGGCCTGAGATTTGGGGTGAAATGGGGAATGATTGCCAATAGGTACATGAATTCTTTTTGGATGAAAAATGTTCTAAAATTGATCGTGGAGATGGTTGCACCACTCTGTGAATATACTAAACACCATAGAATTGTACGGTTTAAATAGATTCATTATAGGGTATGTAAATTATATCACAATAAGGCTGTTGGAAAATAAAGCAAACTAGAACATTACAATTCTGAAGGATCATAATGGGATGGTATATCAAGTGTTGGATAGATGAAGCCCTTACTAAATGATGCCTTACTCATTGACGGTATTTCAGTTGTCTGTTTTCTTTGCCACAATCAGCATTTTAAAAATCATTCTGTACATAGCAATACAATACTGAGCACTTTTGCAGACACCATTTCCTTTCCGAACTTTTAGAGATGCAGAAGTGCTGATCAAATGTTATGCACATGTTTTTAAGGAGCCCCCGCCCTCCCATCCCCCAGAAAGGCTGGGCCAGTGGGCATTCCCTGGAGAGCATCGAGTGCCAGCAAGGCATCGTTTTTTATAACTTTTCTGTTAAAATGATAACACGAAATACATATTAAAGAGTCCTAGCATCATTTCTGAAGGTCTTGTTTTGGGAAGGAGTTTTAGTCTTGTTCAAATACTCAGAGTCTCCATCACGACCTTCCGGCCCGGTGCGGGCTCCGGCAGACGAGCCGGAGAAGCCCTCTGCCCCGACCCCGTCGGTGGAAGTTCGCGAGCCCAGCCGGGCGGGGCGCGCGCGGTCCCTGCACCACGCGTTTCGCTGGCTGCTCCCAGCCGCGGGCGGGAACCTAAACTCCGGCAGGCTGTGCCCGTCCGAGTTCAACTGCGAGTCAGTTTGACGGAGCTCAAGGGCTAACAGGTGGGGAGAGGCTCGGCCGAACGGGTCAGCCGTAGAACTGTGGAATTTGACTCAAGAGAAGACCACCGATTTTTTTTTTTTTAAAGCGACAGGCTAAAGAAGTGGGAGCTCCTATCGTCTGCACATTCTTCGGCTCCTTCTCCCCTCAGAAGTTTGTGTCGGTGGGCGACTGGAGCCCCCACTGCTGCTCTTCCCTGGGTGCGACACTTCCAGAAGTTGTAGGGCAGGATTCCCGAGAACAGAAGGAAGATGAAAGGGCTGGCGGCGTCGGGGTAGTTCTCTCCGGGGCGGCTGCAGGCACCGGCGGCCGAGAGGGCCCGCTGCGGGCGCCGGGGGCGGGGACGTAGGGGCGGGTCAACAAAGGTCGGCGATTGTTCCGGGAGGAGAAGCGGGCGTTGGCGGCGGCGGGCGGAGCCCGGGGCGAGTGAGGTAGAGCCCAGGGATCTCACTGGGAGAGTCAGGGCTGCGCGGTGAGACCCCGGCGGAGTGGGGCGGGGGATTCCAGTCCCCGCCCTGTTTCCCCGCCCCTCCCCCCGCCTCCCTCTCGCCCCTCCCCCCTCCTCCCCGCTGGTTGGAAAGTTTCTAGAATCTCTTCCCAGCGGCCTTTGCGGTTCCAACATGGCGGAGCTGACGGTGGAGGTTCGCGGCTCCAACGGGGCTTTCTACAAGGTACCCTTTTGCCGCTTTGTCGGGTCTTCTGGTGGCTGGGGCAGGTTTGGGGGCGGGTTGGTGGTCCCGGAGAGTGAGGTTTGGGGTCAGAAAGGGTGGCCAGGCCAAAGCCCGAGGCCGCTGGGTTCCTTGCTTCTCCCCCCTCCACCCGCGGTTTAACGGTCTCGGAGGCCCGGGCTCCGTTATGTTTTGAAACAACACGTCGGACACCTCTTGCGTTTTCCTACTTGTGAACCTTTTTCTTGGGTGCCAGCGCGACCCCCGGCCGGCCGGTGAGGAGAAGCCGAGTCGCTGCCGGGCGGCGGGGAGCTCCCTGGGAGCAGGCCTGAGCGCCGCGAGGTGGGGGAGTCGTGAAAGGAGGCGGTGGGATTGTGTGGTCACAGCCGCTCTCCCGCCCCTCCGACCGGGTCGAGCGGGAGCGCCTCGGCCGGCGGCTCCCACCCCTCCCCATCCCGGGGGGGGGGGGGGCGCGTCGCGGAATCTTAGGAATTCACCTTTGTACTAGGGTTTTGGGCTAATAAACTTTACTGTCTGAAGAAGAATTGGGTACCGATTTGAGGGTTAGGATCGAAGATAGAAAACTAGAAAACCTTGAAATGTGGCGGGTTGAAATCTTTTTGCGGCCTGGGAAATTGGGCGGCGCGTGAATCCCTCTGTTACGGAAGAAAAGGCGAGAGTTGCAGGCGTTCAAGTGTGATTTAAAATGGGGAATGGAGCCGAGAGACAGGTAGGGAGGTGGCCAGTTTCTTTATAGCTGTACCCAGTGTTTTTGGAAGGTGTTGAGTTTGTTTTGTTGTTCCCCCACGAGGGTTTTTTTGTTTGTTTCCATTGGGAGGAAGGAGATTCATTGCTATGGGATCTGGGCTGGAAAACGGAAGAAGTCGAGAGTAGAGGAATTTAGTAGGGGCTTCCAGGGTAGGGGTCACATAACTGAAAATGAAGTCCTTACTGTTTAGTTTTGCGATTGTAACGGTCTCCTCCCGATTCTCCCTTTCTCCCCAAGTATGCCAAGATGTTACAAGATCAATACAAAATCTCCCCAGCTGTTGTCTGTCAGTCAATCTCACTAAGCCAGCATCTCAAATGTTTGAGAGTCCTGGCTATTTTTATGAAGGGGCCTTCTCCTTATACAGGAGTATTGTGCATACGCAGAATGTGTTCTTCCTACGTTTCCTTTTAGCGTACCTTTTATCCCACAGGATTTTATTTTATTTACTATTCGACATTCAGCTTTTTTTTTTTTTTTCCCTTTCCTAGTTTACTGGTTAGCTATGTGGATTTGGGTTTAACTGTCACGTGGTAATAACTCAGTGAGAAATCACAGTTGGCCTCTAAAGGGTCTCCCTGAGCTTTTTTACAAATTTATATCTCCTTAGCTCTTCATCATAAAGTAAAAACAGTGATTGATGAGAATGAGTTTTAATGTGTGACTAGTTATAGTAGTATAACTTTAAAACTTGGTGTCAGACCCTGGTGGGGTAGTTAAGTTGGTTAGAACGTCCTCCCAGCTCTCCAAGGTTGCCGGTTCTATACTGGGTCAGGCACATACAAGAATCAACCAATGAATAGGTAAATAAGTGGAACAACAAAATCGATGTTTCTCTTTCTCCGGTCGGTCAATCAATCAATCAATCAATAAATATTTGGTGGCAGACAAAGGAACTAAGTAAAATTTGAGTAGATATTTTATTGGCTTCTGTTCTTATTCAAACCTAGTGGTATGCCTTTTCTGAATGACTGCAGACACAGTTGTGGCACAATGCACAAAGAATGGGTTTACTACACTTTTCCTATCAAGGTAGATAAGGTTTATTATTTTTGCATCCACACTCCCTCACCCATGGAAAAGTTTAAAATTCTCACTATTTGGCTGTACAGTTCTTGTGTAACGGAAGCATGCATTTGTTTTGGTCATATTGAAAAGTGGAAATGGGTTGTTTTGTCAACATTACTTTGCAGCATGTAGATGTTAGAACATCATTTCTTTTTAGCTAAGTATACTTTATGTTGATTGCTACACAGGATAGACTTCATTTCTTTTTTATAAAACTAAGACCATCATTGAAAGTTTTAGTAAAGACTGTTTACAGTTTTACTTTGGTTTCTTAGTATTTTTCAAAAATCAAGTCACAATAAGTCAAATGTTCCCATTTTGGAACTATATAAAGTACTATGGTGATCCTACCCACCTATCCATACTTCACAAATCTGCTTGATCCTACTTAGACTTTGATTCCATTAGTCAGTGTTACTAACAAAGGAAGGTGGTTCTTTGGCAAAGGTTGGGAAGGACCCCCCCCCCCCCCACAGCCACGTTTTTATGTACTAAAATAATTGCACTTGAATATTTGGAATTTTATGTCTTGTCATAATCCACTTGTACGTGCACATGCACTTTGTGGAAACTAGTCTAACGAACCCAGGAAGAGAGAAGAGAAGGGTGAAGTGGACGAAGTCCTGGGTTTGAAGTTAAACAAATGGGACTTCTAGGTCTGTACTTCAGCTTACCATTATCTAGCAATGGACCCTGAACAAAACTTCTCTGGGTCTGTTTTCTTTTGTGTAAAATGAGTTTGAAAGAGCTTGGGGGTCCCCAATATTTTTTTATCCCACGAAACTGCTCACTTGGAACCATTTGGCTTACTACACAGTGATTTTTAACAGTGTGAATTAAAATTAATTTGCATATAGTAAAATTTGCCCTTTTTGTTACACAACTATATGACTTTTGATAAATGCTCACAGTTGTCTAATCACCACCAGGATGAAGAGAGAGAATGTAGTTTCACCAGCCCCCAAATTCTTCCCAATGCCCCTTTGTAGTCAACCTCTCCTAGTTTGTTTTCTTTTCCCATATTTTGCGTTTATTAGAATGTCCTATGTGTAGAATCATGTACCTTGTAGCATTTTGAGTCTGGCTTCTTTTATTTAGTGTCGCAGCAATATTTTCTAATTTAAATAATGCATGGTTAGTGAGGGAATTTTGGAAACTATCAGAATTGCCTTGAGATAACAGCTAACATTTTTTTTTTTGGTACATGCCCCTAGTGGGAACCGAACCCGGGACTCTCTGGTCCTCAGGCTGACGCTCCAACCGCTGAGCCAAACCAGCCAGCTCTAACAGCTAACATTTCTGTGTATTTTTCTTTCTGTTGTGTTTTTCAATGTACAGGTGATTGATTTTCCTTCTCTATTTCTTCCCTTTCCACCATATGCACAGACACACGCTTGCTCTAAATTTGTATTGCCAGTGAAGAATTTCAGTCATGGGATTAGTAGCCAATATCATTATGCCTTGAGGCAGTGCTCTGTAGAAATTGATTAAAGGTTTTCTCCTGGAACTAAAATTTTATTTCACAAATTAATTGGAACCAATGAGAAGCTGAATATTTGATCAAAAGTTAGGATAGTCTCCCCCCAATATTAAATATTTACACAAATGATAGCATGTCCTGTATCTTGTGGTTTTTTTTTTTTTTTTTAAGGAAGGGGGGTAGAGAGACTTAGGGACATCAGTTCATTGTTCTACTTATTCATTCATTGGTTGCTTCTTGTTTGTACCCTGAGCGGAGGTCAAACCTGCAATCTTAGCAGTTCCGGACAATGCTCTAACCAACTGAGCTACCAGGCCAGAGTTGTATCTTGCTTTTTTTTTTTTTGGTATGTGCCCCTAGCGGGAACTGAACCCAGGACTCTCTGGTCCACAGGCCAACACTCCAACCCCTGAGCCAAACCGGCCAGGGCAGTATCTTGCTTTTAATAATTGAACAGTGGATCTACAGTTAAAGAGATAAAAACCTGATATGTTCCTGTTTGCAGCCCTTTAAGTATAGGGATTGTAACAAATGGGAAATATGCTACTTAAACACTTGATAGGGGATGTCATATAAAAATTAGCTTTTATAGTCTTTTCTACCTGGAGTGTGGCATTTTAGGGTTTATACTATTAGCCGTTTAAGATGCCCCCCCCTTTAAGTTGTGAGATAGAATTTACAATCTATGATTGTTAAAGTATTTACATTGTTGTGTAACCATTACCACAATCTTATTTTAGAACATTTTCATTATCCCCCAAAAAACATTGTGTCCATTTGGGGGTCATTAAAATGCTTTTTAATTGATGTACCTGATGTACATTTGCAACTTGCATAGCCATAGGGCAGAACATAATTTAAAATATCAGTTGAAAGTCACTTATTTTCTGGCTCATGTAGAGGACAGTTTCCATGGTGTACCAAGGAAATGTGTAATATCTGACATGGAGGAATGAAATACTAGATAGAACTAATTGCTTTTAGAGCTCTGTGATTTCTTTGACTATGTAATTGACTACAAAACAAATTTTAAAGTACTGTATTACCAAAATTTTCTTACCTTAGCTTATTTTAATATTAACATGAAATTTGATAGTAATTAAATTACGTGGATTTATTATCACTAGTCATGATAACCTATTGGAGTTACAGTAAAGGAGTTGTGTTCTGACAGTGTAAGACTTTTCAGAGTTAGTATAGTTTATTGTTCATTTCTTTATGGAGAGTAGTAATTAAGGAAAAGATGGTAGCTATCTTAATATTAGGAATACTGTTAAATTAAAAACATACAATTCTAGATATTATAAAGATAATTTTTAGTTTCACATGTTTTAATATGCAATTGTTATAAAAATGTAAAAGAACTAAGAATTAACTAATTGAAAATTCTAATACTTTTTTTTTTTTTTTTTTTTTATTCCTCACCTGAGGATACTTTATTTATCATCAGATAGAGTGGGAGGGAGAGAGAGAGAGACAGAGAGAAACATCAATGTGATAGAGCCCCATCCACAGGTTGCCATCCTCACGACCGACCAGGGCTGGGGATGAACCACAACTGAGGTACAAACCCTTGGCCAGAATTGAATACGCTCCTCATTGGTCCACTGGCCAACAGTCTAACTGCTGAGCCAAACCTGCCAGGGCTAATTTTTAAAATAGAATTTAAATACTTTTGCTGTTATG